GAAAGAGTAACTTCTTCCCAAAGGAAAAACTATTACTATCCATACCTCTTATCAATTAGAGATTCTGAGAATCACAAGATCTCATACTGTTCATGTTAAAATTGTTTTTCCCAGAGCAGGCCCCATAAAACATTTTACTATTAGCATATTTCAGAAAATTCTAATAGTGAGATGGGTTATATTTATCCTTTTACTACTCTACTATAGAGATATTCAAAACAGGGATTCATAGATAAGCCTTCAAGAGTTGTTAGTGAATTGTTTTTGTTTTTAAATTTGTTATTTGTGCACTTGCTGAGTCACTGGAGACAGAGAGAAGTGAGAAAGCACCACCAGGGGGTGAAGGGGATGACCATGCAGCAATCCCTTCTACTCGATTTTCCTCTCAAGATATTGGCTATGCATGCATACACTCAGTGTTTCAAGCTTCTAGGTCCAGACTCAATGACACGGTGGGCAAGGTGGGATCCAGCTCCTTTAACAACCACACCACCTGGCTAGCCTGTGGATTGTTTTCATTGGATCAACATATAGCTGAAATACAAAGCTAAGTAACTGAACTTGTGCATTAGAGAACTGAATGAAAAGAATTTTATAAAAAGAGACAATGATCATACCTCCCTTTGATTTCTACCATCTCCTTCCTATCTTTATTATTGTCAGGAAAGTCATGCCATATTTTTCTGTGTTTCTCTATGCAAAAATGCATCATGATTTTGCCAAAAACCCAATATTTATTTCTAAAGACATTTAGAAACTAAGCTCTAGGCTAAACTCTCTAACATCCTACATATCCACAAGTTAATTTATAGATATTTTTACATTGATACCACTTTATAGGGACCAGCAGTTAGTGTGATGGCTATGTCGCTGAACTCCCATGTAGTCGACCGCAGTTTGAGTCGGGGACCTGGTGGCTTAAACTCACGCCGGGCATGTGTGAGCGCGTGCCCAAGATCCCGAGAGGAGAATGGAGGAGAAGGGATAGCAGTGTGGCCATCCCCCCCCGGAAAATGATTTGCTTTCTATCTCTCTGTCTCTCTCTGTCTTTCTGGCAAACGCAAGCGCCCTATAGCAAAAACTTCTCCCCCCCCAAAAAAGAAAAAAAATAACGCTTTATAAAAATACAATGTTTATGCCCAGGCATGAAAAATATTTAAAGAAATAGTATGCCAGTTATTTTTAAAATGTTACTCATTTGGCAAACAAATCTTATGCAAAAAAAATGTTCACCGTATAAGATATGTACAAGAAGGGCCAGCAGGTGGTATGGTGGTTAAGATGCTGGACTTCCACATGGCTAACCGTGGTTCGAGTCCCAGACCAGGCGGCTTGCTGCCTCTATCTCTCTCTATCTCTATCTCTATCTCTCTCTGTCTCACTAGTGAACACACATGCCCTAAAGAAAACTTTAAAAATAATCATGATAAATAAAATTGAATAAATAATTATCAAAAATAAAAAAGATATGTACAAGAAAATATTTTTTTAATTTGCCAGAGGGTACATGCACTCACTGGAGACAGAGAAAAAGAAACAGAAAGTGGGAAAGTGAGAAATCTCCCCCAATAGGGAATGATCACACTGCAATCCCTTCTCCTCTCTCTCTCTCTTTCTCTCTCCCTCCCTCCCTCCTTCCTTTGGGAATTTTGGCATGTTTCTCAAGATGATGAGTCTACAACTCAAACAATACAGTCAGACACGTAGGATCCAGCTGCCTTAACCACCATGCTATGTACTGGTCTCAAAACAATTTTTTTGTAAGTCGAAAAAAAATTTGTAATCCGTAAATTTCATTTACATTTAGATCTCAGCTTCATGTAAATTACATTAGTATTTCAATTTGTATAACTGAAAGTTGTAACTATCTATTATAGATTCCACTTTTCTTCATGTACAATAATTTTCAAAAACATCAGAAAAAGAACATCCTTGACATGATGCCTTGCTCTACAGTACAGACTCCATATAACCTTCTTCACATAACCCACTGATGCTTTTATTACACTATAAAGTAGCTATAATATGGAAGCACAGAATGTTTGAGGAGCCTACAGGTTCGTCTACTTTTCTTCAA